CAGGCACATAAGCACATATTCTTGCTACTAAAATATTCAATATTTTCAAAATATTTTTACTGTTATTCTCAGTGAGAGTTCCTAATGGAAACATTTTCTTTCATAATTAAGGTTACTACTAGACATGCCTAAAATAAGGAATTTCAAAATCGTGCCTCTTTGCCACTGTTGTGAATGCAGGTGTGGGTGCTTAATGACAAATATAAACTCCAGGGCATTGCTAGGTGTTGGAAATGCACTAAAAATGTTAGCAATGCCGAAAATAAGAGTCATCTGGACGTCAAAGGCAGAAAGAAAGGACAATACCAGGAATCTGGCCCAAGTCCTGCTCTACTACAAACCAGTTCTGAATTTTAGGAAGCTGCTTCACCTCTCTGGGCCTGAGGCTAAGACTACTTTTATTTTCTACTCCCCACCAGCCCTCAGATGAAATGGTGTCTGTAGGTAGAAGAGATAGCAGAACCGGTTCTTACTTAGATTAACAATGGTGCCAGAGTAGTTCTAAGGCCTAGCCCAGTTTAGGGTTTTGTTTCTGCCACTGAGGAAAACCGTATACATGTTGAGAACTTGTACCTGAACAAATTCCCAGTGTTCAATTCATTCTAATGATAATGCCTTTCTGTGCTGTATATTTTTAACTTCATTCAACGTTCCTTGTGTCAAACACTGTGACAGGTGATAATAGAAGTAACTGGAAACGAGTATATAACTTAGTAGTGTACAGAAGCCTGTGGGCTCTACAATGTGTGTGCGTGGCTAACAGGAGAAAAAGTTCTTTTTGTCCCTCATTCTGTCCTGAATTAAAATGTAGAAAACTTTATCCCACACAGTGCTAATTTTGTGTAGCTTAATATCATGATTAACTATATTACATTTTCCTTTTTTTCCTTTTTAGCTCAGTGTAAACAAGGCACCTACTCATCCAATGGACTTGAGACTTGCGAATCGTGTCCACTGGGCACTTACCAGCCAGAATTTGGTTCCAGGAGCTGCCTCTTATGTCCAGAAAACACCTCAACTGTGAAAAGAGGAGCTGTGGACATTTCTGCTTGTGGAGGTTATCAAAGCCTTAGACATTGATATTTCTTTAAACTTAGTAGGTTCTATTCATGGAGGAGTGGAATATTTTTAGCAAAA